CTGTCCCTTTCTCTCTTTACTCATATTGGTCCCGCTCTGGCTGTCTGTCTGTGTGTCTGTGTGTCTCTCTTTCTCTCTCTCTCTCTCTCTCTCTCTTTCTCTGACAATTTCCTGTTTCCCCAAGTCCCATGCCTAGCTACAAAATTAGCTTTCGTGAACCGCATGGTATAATCTTCTTTCTTACCATGTTCACGAGCGCGTTCAATACAATTCAGTCGATAAATCAATACTGCATAGAGAGCCATTCAAGTGTACACATATAGTCTGTTCAGCACAAGCTCTACATAAGTGGCTTTCAATTGCACGATTGCACACCCCAGAACACATTGAAATGCATGGATTAAGTGTATGTCTCTTGTAAAAGAATAACCTGCATGCACCTTTAAAATATTGAGATAGGTAAAGAGCATGAAAAGACGCTGTAAAAAAATAAATTAGACAGTTCACAAGCAATACTTACAGTAGAATATAGTTCAGATATTATGGAGATGTAGAAAAGGACATTCGTTTGGAACAATTACCCCCCCATACACGTCTGGCCAAAAGTGGACCAACATTTTTTTCGTATCAATAACCAAAACCAGTTTCTTGAACGCCTTCCATATTTCTAACTATTGAGTTACTTCTAGTACGGGTAGGTAGAGGGATTCTTTGTCTTTCTTTGTTTATGGTTCTTTAATGTCCGTTTCCACACTGTAAAGCTGTGTAACAATTCTGACCTTTTCAAATCCTCGTCCAACTCCAAATGGACCAAGACAATATAGTGGAGAGACTTGGAAAGTCCCCAAAACAACCCAGGATCAAGAATGCCGCATTGAGAATTCGGACATCGGATATACACAATTATAGCCAAGCGTTGGATCAGCTGAACTAAGCAAAAAGATTGAAGAATATACCTATACACCCAGTCCTAGTGGTTGACAGTAAAACTCCGCTTGATCATTGTTTATTAATTATTTCTAGAAGACATTATTAGTGTATTTTTTAAAAATTAACAGAATATTAAAACAAGCTAATACCATAACGTTCAAAAATTGTATTTTTCTTAATAATATTTGATCGTTTTTCGATTATTTGTTCTCCAGCACAGACAAAAAGCAACCGTGTTCATGTATCGATGTTGAGTTCCCGTCGACTCAATTGTTAGCACTCAGCCTGCTTTGATCCTGCCTTTAAGAGCCAAGCATGGCTGGGTGGGATACAACATTCCAGCAGAGAGAAGATGAGCATTCCCATTACACTACACTCGCCAACGACCCACGCTTGTGTTGTTAAATGTTGTTGTTGGAATACAAATGTTGGCTCCTCTTCCTTCTATTACGACTAAATTATAATAATATGTGATCATTTAGGATTATGATAATACTGCTTAAATGCAAAATAAGACCTGATAAAATGAAACATCTGAACATGTACTTAAAATTTAAAATGAATCTGTCAAATCTGTATGATCATTTACCAAAAACACATAGACATAGCAGCTGGAACAGGTCCAAATTTTGCAGCGTAGAGATCTCTCTGAGAGAATTGACATTAAACATGGCAATGCATAATCATAGCAAAATCTGTCAAGCGATAAAAGGCACCACTAAAAAGAGTTGAAACCGTTGAAGGAACACAGTGTGTGACTGTATAAAGAGAAACATGATTTTTCTTTTTCCCCATGAAAAAGGGGTCGTTGTGATTGGAACACAATGTTTGTTGATGACAAAAATGTCTTTTGGCTTGTGATATGGTGTCTTTATGAAAAGTATGTTTTTGCATGAAAATGTGCTGCTGATTGTATACGGTCTTTTTGTTGTCCAAAGCCATGAAGAGGATCGGATATCGGGGCCACTAGTATGTATAAAAAGATGTTGATTGTTCAGAAAAGATCTTCAATAAAAAGATTATGACATACATTTTGATTTTCGCTTTGTACATAAATCAATATATACATATCGACATTTTGTTATCTCTCACACCAGAACCTGATTTAAGTTTATAAAGAGAACAGAACAAGAGTATAGGCATACAAATATATCAGTGACTGTGGCACAGCAGGAGAACTTAGTTCAAATGTTCAGAGCACAAGAACTGATGGCTTGAAAAAGCAAAAGAGCTCGCGTGGAATCTTATCTTTTGGCAAAGCAGGGAGAAAATTAAACGCCACGGTGATGTGATCCGGGCATCATTGCACAACTTGCTAAGCGCGTGCACACAATCGTCATAATGTGGCAAGATGGCTGCGTTCCAGCTGAGACCCATCTGATCCTCATTTGGGGTGGAGTATGTATGTCTTTAGAGACGTTGTATGAGCCCAGCCAGGGAGAGAGAGGTGCCGACCAATAGCTGGACAGCCTGGTGTCTGGGCAGAGCGATGGCCACCAAATCTCTCAGTCTCAGCTTGAAAGCTCCAAGCACGGCAAGAGATGATGACTGAGGAAGACAGAAAAAAAGTTGTAAACATACTTTTAAAGGCAAATTAAAGGGTCATTGAGTTTTCAATGATGATCATCAA